GGGGACAAATGAAAGGAAGTGGGAGACAAGCCAGCCGCGAACCCGACCACAGAAGTGGCCTGGGAGACAAATGTGAAAGGAAGTGGGAGACAAGCCAGCCGGGAACCCGACCACAAGCACCCAGCCTGGGAGACAAATGAAAAGAACTGGGAGACAAATGAAAAGAATTGGGAGACAAATGAAAGGAAGTGGGAGACAAGCCGGCCGGGAATCCGACCAGACCATCCAGCACCAAGGCGACCATTCTTTAAAGCATTGAGAACCCCTAACAGTAAACTGTTTGGGGAACAAACACATGTTGAAAGAAGGCGCTAGCCGAGCTGACTGATTGCTGCTCTGACATTTCGTCTGAGCATTTGATTCTACGCAAGGAGCATCTCACTGAGTGTGGGTCAACCTTCATCACCATCACCACCTGACTTTAAAGGCCTGGGACACTGCCATGTGTTGAGAACTCAATTCACCTATATACTATATATTATGTCAACTCTTGCGCTGAACGTCATGGGCCAACGTGGGTCTGTATGTTTTTGACCTTCCCAGCCCGGTATGTTTGACTGTGGGGTATGATGCTTCGGGGGTATTCTTCGGGGTATGCTTCGCATAAGTCGCACAAATCAGCACTACATAAACTGGACAGGTTAAAGGAAAAACATGTGTTTGCTCTATTCAATGCAAATCTGATTGCTTCACATAGACAGAGCATATTCGACTGAGAACCGAACACGAGTCAGATGACTTTGTCTATGATGGCTAGCCAAGGGATTGAAGTGACCAAGCACTAGTGGCAAACTTGAGTTTTGATGAGGCTTCAAGCTTGGAGGAAAGAACCTGAGCAGAATCCCAGGGGCCGTCGGTCAGTCACCATGGTGGCACAGTGATTGCAGCTGACAGCAGCTGCTGGGAAAAGACACGTTGCAAGTGACGTGCCTCTTCATAGGATTTGCAAAAGGTAGGACGCCCAGCCAAAGCTAGTGATGTGACAGCAAACATGCCGCCACCCAAGTCTACTCGGCCTCAAGCGCCCCTTGACACAGCAGTCCGATTTGCTAGAAGTATGAAGTAAACACATGTTGAAAGAAGGCGCTACGTGCTGGGCGCTGGCCAAGGCGACTGACAGTGCGAGCAGGCCGAATTCTCTCTGAAGCCCTGCTTGTCTGCTCATTGCAGCCGCCAGCCACCCTTCTTCACAAACCCTGCCACATCACAGCCGATGGGCATGTGCTGGAGAACTCTACATGCATTATGTGTAATTAACTGCCGCCAATTTCCGCAATTTCCTTACTCTGTATGTCTCGTGGCAAGGGAGTCAAGCACAAACAGCTGCATGAAGAATGAAGCCTTTCAAGCATTAGTTCCTTTTCCTTCCCCGCTACATGAGACAAGGCATCACACGTAGAAATAGAGGCATGAAAGAGGGGTTGCCACTCTGGGTCTTTGGCCAGCAGTGCTTTGGAAGACAGGATATTTGAATGGAACCAAGAAGAAACATCGAGGGAACGTAATCCACATGTTCTCAAACACCAGACCTGGACAAGAAGATGTTCATGCAATCTACCTGGTGGCTGGCGGCGCTCGAAGGCTCATTCCTGGTGAAACAAACTATACAACTTGAGGCCTTGAGGAGACTATACTAACTAGCAACTAGGACCAGAAGTGATACAATTATCCCAACAGCAAGCCTGACGCCCTCCATGTTCGCCACGCTAGTCGCACCATCACCTCCGAAGTTGACGCTCGCCGTAGTCCCTGAGTCTGGAATGAGTGGGGGTGGTGTGATCCAGAGGCCTCCGTCATGCCAGGTTCCTGCGACCACTCTTGATGCATCAGGTGACATGGCCAGTGATGTCCACGTCGGGGAAGTCGTGTTCGACAATTTCCATGTGTTGCCACCAGCAACATCAATCACGAAAATACCGTTCTGAGATCCAAGACTGGCATCAGTGATGAGCGTGGTAAAGTTGGAGGACGCACGTACCAGCCTGATGCAAGGAAGACTTAATGTGAGCCATGTAGAGCCTCCATCAGCACTGCCCCAAAGGTTCCCCTCATAGATACCATCCCCCTCGCAAGCCGCCAACTTGGAGCCATCTGAAGACATGGTGATGCTCTGCCAGTCCTTGCGCGAAGATGACTCCGCCTTCACCCAGGTTTCCCCAGCATCTGAGCTTGTCCAAATGGACCCTGAATAGCCGCCGTCCGAAACAGCAGCCGCCAACTTGGAGCCATCTGAAGACATGACAATCTCCTGCCACCACTGGGTCTCCCCCACTGACACGTCTTGCGTCCAGGTTCTGCCACCATTCGAGCTCATCCAAATGTGGTCTTTGTGGGCTATTGCGGCAACCTTTGAGCCATCTGACGACATGGCTATGTCAGACCATCGTTTGGTTTCCCCCACTGATGTGTCTTCAGTCCATGTAGCACCACCATCTGAACTCGTGTAAAGGTTACCACGCTCTTCTCCGGCGACGATCTTAGAACCATCCGAAGACATGGCGATCGCATCACCCGGCGCTGTCTTCTTGGTCCAGGACTTTCCAAAGTCTGAACTCAGCCAAACCTTCCCTGCCCAAGACCCCACCGCTATCTTCGAACCATCTGCAGACATAGCCATGGAGGTCCATGAGGCTGGGTGATCAACACCTGTCACCTGCACCAAAATCTGAGTCGTCGCGGTCGAGCTGGCCTTGCGACAACTCGGCACAGGTTTGTGGTTTGAAGCCAGTGAACTTCAACATTGCAACATGAACCAAAGTGCTAGCAGGTAGTATAATATATAGCAACCCAAGAGCCACCAATGAATCGTTGCGGCGCGTGTGAAACGGGAACTTGAGCCGCAGCACAGTTTCTTTTCACACCGGTCTTACGCCAGGGTTTGAGTTCTACCAAGTATGACTGTTGCAGCTCCCTAGCACTAGCGTAGCGATGTCAGTCTGCCCATGTCGGAACCGATGATTTGGGCACGGGCGCCTCTTCTGGGCGGCTCCCTCCAGAATCAGTCGCACTTTAGTGGTCGTAGCAGTTTAAAGGACCAGTGGCTGATGTCCGTTGGAAGCAGAGTAGCCAGTTTCGCTTCGTTCGGTTCGCGTCCGATCGCTCCGAACAGTACAACAGACCCGACTTCAAGCATCGGACGAAGGCGACCAGTGGGTCGACCTTCGGGATGGTCGTGCGAAAAGCAGCGCTTGACACGGGCTTTTCACGACGTCGCTTCCAGAGCTTGCCACACAAAGCCTTTTGCGATGCGAAGCAGTCTAAGGTGTGCAGCTTGCTCCCGGTGTGGTCGGTCCTTCTGACCCAATTCGCTTTAAGTGCCACAAGTGGCTGCCGTCCATTGGCTGAAGCTTGCTGCCTTTTCGGTTGGCAAGAAGGCAGCTAAGCAGCTTGATGACTTTTTGCAACCAAGCCATCAAAAGCTGGGCAAAGGTCAAAGCGGTTCGTGGCCAAAAGGGTTGCAGTCCTTGTTGCAATTGCTCAGTGCTTGTTGATTGTTTGTTAGGTGCAGTCGGCCAATGCTGCGCGCTCGCTTGATCCTGTTTCCACCCTGTCCATCAATGTCACCGCGTTAACTTTTCCTCGGCTTGAGGAAATTTTAGATCTTGCTCATGAAGGGGCGCCTCATGGCGCAGGGTTTCACCGTTGGTCCGTCCGGTGAGTCTGAGGCATCCGGTCCTGATCATGAGGGTCGACCCGCTTTTCCCAAGGTTGGCTGTACTGTTGCATTCCCGCGCGCGTGCGCCCGTTAGTGGCCAAACCGTCTGCACTGCATCCATCTAGTTTGCCCGTGGTTGGAGACTTTAACTGGCGACCTGCCTATAGTGCCCTTGATGTTGATGGACTTGAGTTGCAAATTCTTTCGCTATTCCCCGACATGGCGGGCTGCTCAGCCCTGCATTACTGTCAAAAGTGACTGGATTTGTATGATGCGCGTGAATGTCCGCGCCAAGCTTGAGACCGCTACTTGCAAACTTCCATTCATGGGCTGTCTGATTTCCTCGACTATTTGAACTCAATGAGTTGCTGGCTATACCTACTGACACTTCGACATTGTGCCTTAACCACTACAGAAACAGGTTGGCATCACTACAACTACATTCGATTCACACCGGTCTGGTTGGGTCTGCCGTCGGGGTCACTGAACTATAGGCATGTCGCGGTGCTTCGTCCGTCTCTTGATGCTGAAGGCAATCATAAATCAAGCTCCCCAATTCTTACATGGTGTCATATTTGTGCGCCCCATGGTCCACAAAGGACCTTGGACACCGCGCTCTACCTTTCAGGAAACAACACGGCATTGTTCCTGAGCGACGCGCGCAAGCGGCGTTGGCAACGGGTACGTTTTCGAATACCGGCTGCCGTTGGAGGTCGTGGCCAGCTTCAGCAACAACGCAACTCAAAGACTCAAGAATATTCAAGGATACGATTTGCCTTCTTTGTGGCGAATGCATGCTCGAAACATTCACAGCAAAGCCAAATCCGCAAACTTAAGTCCTACTGGGAAATCCAACTGGACGCTTTCAAGCTTGTCATAGTCTGACCAAATCACACTCAGAAAGGCCCAGCAAATCTCCACTCTTGACTGGGGGTTGCTCAAAGCACTTCCGTGCGAAAGCGCCTACAAGGTACGAAACACTGAGAAATGAGAAGCAATATAGCATCGCGCGATCCTTCCACTATAACCAAGCGGGCAACGAAAAAAAGAAGGGGCAAGCATGGGGCAAGCACATCTGGGGGTCCACGGCGTACCTGTTTGGCACGAAAAAAAAGGAACGAGGCAAACACCCAATGCAATCAGGAGGGAACACCCGTTGTCAAAATGGCACACAGAATCTGGTTGATGGCACTCTGACTCACTAACCAGGAAGTGGAAAAGAGTCCGGAAGAATGCTTTCCTTCACGAACAAAGGTTTTCCACTTCCATGTTAGTGAGTCGGAGCGTAAAACTCGTGCACACCACAAGTCAAAATCTGGAAGACTTGCCTGTGACTCAGTCTCGTCGTTGCCGCTTGTCAGGGTGGTTGTGCCTGAGGTCGTGAATGTCTTGGTGTAGGTGCTCGTGCTGGGCATGGATGTACTGGTGGTCGTCCAGATGCTGCAGGTGTACTTATCGTTGTTGACCTGCGAGAAGGAACCAGTCTCAGAAATGCACGCAAGATCTGCATAGGAGCTTGCCACTGAGACGTTGCCCGTGCAATTCTTCTCAGTGTATGTATATGTCACCACAGACATATTCTCTGTCTCACATACGACCTTGGAGCTTCCTTGTGCATCATCAAGCCCGGTAAAACACTCCCCATCTGCATACTTCTTGTACTCATGAACTTCCTCAACACACTCTGTGTCCCAAGCTTTGTAGGAGTACTTGGTATATGTCTCGAGATCCATCGCCACAAACTTCTCGCCACTGTTGCACTCGTCAGAATTCACTTGCTTGTTTGAATGCGAGTCGCCGCTGCAGCTCCAACTTTGTGTCCACAAATGGACTACAAAGCTGCTGTTGGTGAGAGTAGGCACCTTGAACAAGTCAGTAGCACGGGGACCCCTGATACAATCTCCTTCCAATCCTGCCTCACTGCGGAATGTGATCTCGCCAGTGCAGTCAGAATTGGACCAAATCTCCTTGATGACGAACAGCTCCTTCGCTGTAGCCGCCGCTAAGAAGCTGAGTTGAGACCAAACCAACACTCGGAACATTGCGAACCTGAGAGATTGTGGACGCACTGAGAGGATGTGCACCCCACGCGTTGATTTAGAATAGCTCCAATGGCTGCGGTGACAAAGAAAGTCATCTTTGGGGACAATAAGTCTCAATCAGGGCAAACAATGAAAGTTGACAGAGATCGTCATTCAAAGAATTTGAACCCTTGGAACCATGATGTACGTTACAAGACTTCTCGTTTCTCAGCAGCAATGTTCTCGTTGATAAGTCGTGACTTGCAACCGATCTTTGTACAAGCCCTGAAGCTCTCTTTACAAGCAGTCTTTGTACTTGCGCTATTTGGCTGGACTCAAAGTCCCCCAGGCTTCACAAGGCTAAAGGCTAAAGGCCAGGTCCGTTTGTGAAAGCCACTCTGACCTGGATGTCAGTGCTCGAGGCAACGGAGTTCCGTGCATGTGCTGAGGCAGCAACTCTATGTCTTTCAGGGTCTTATTCTTGAGCTTGAGGTTCAGAGCGGTTTTGATAAGCCTAGCTAGCGGCAGTTGGCGTGGCCTGTAATATTTGATTTGCAGGATCTCATCACGGAACAAAACAATTCGCACCTCTGACTCGACGGCACTTGGGGCCTAGAACAAGTGAGTGATGCTGTCAAGATCTCAGAACCATATGTTTAATAGTTTCTTATGAATCCAAAACATTCATAGCATCGTCTTTCAATGGGCCTGGTTCAGGGTCTGCAGGATCTGCTCGAAGGACTGATGTAGCAGGGCTTCCTGATTCAACCTCATGGCCACAACTGCGTCAACCTAATCATCCTGTCTTAAGTACATGTTGTCCTTTATCAGGCTTTATGATGTGGTTCGACTTTTAGGGAGTTCCTCAGGAAGTGTAAAGTTTCGCCCGTTTATAATATATATATAGCCTTCCAGCATGAACGACAGCAAATTTTGACAATCCAAACTTTCACCCAGGCACTTGAGGAGAGGCAGCGCGATGCAAAAAAAAAATATTTTGACCTGAGCTGGTGGAAGAACAAAGCATATAATGTAATTAAATCTAGCAAGCCATGAGTCTTTGTCACAGGAATCAGCATCTGAATCGGGTATTAACATGCCGTATGCATATCAGGCACCCCTTCTGCCAGGGTGCCAAACTCACACCACAGTAGAGAAGGGAAGTTGTAGATGCAAACCTGCAATGATTCAGCAGTATATAACTTGGGGTTCCAATCGTCATGAACCATTGAGATGTATACCTTGTAGGGTTCAACAGCTGACAGGCTGGCAATTGCAGCATCACATTTACAGAAAGTCCAAAAAGAGCAACGATCAAGATGTGACGCGGGCTCGTCTTGCTATGTCGACCTTGTTCTGTGAGATGCTCATGCGGGGTCACCAGGCCTCAAACGGGGTCACCGGCGAAGTCACACGAGTATCGGGTCAGCGCGGACTCCATCAGAGGCATGAGCCTCAACCTGTTGGTTCCGCGACAGAAGGGTCTGCATCTTCGAAGCATCATGTGCTCTGTGGCTCTGGCAGATTGACCTCAAAGACTCTTTGAAGTGGGAAAAAGCATTTGTTCAAGAGCCGGATGGCCTCGGCAGCGGCGGTGCCTGCCACTGAGACCATGTGCGTTGGCGACATCCTGGACAACAAATTCGGCTCTTGACATGGTAGTTCTCGAGCAAAAAGAATAGCACGAGTAACTCACAATAGCAAAGTCAATAGCGAAGTAGATACCACAATAACAGTACCACAGAAATCCGATCTGAGAATCTCACAATAACAAAGTCGTCTGCACTGGTCCATAGCTCAGCAGTCTGTGTTTCCCGAAAACTGTTCTGAGGATTTGCAATGATTGAGACAAAGGCCCCTGCTAATATGGAAGAACACCACGAGGCACAAGATATCTTGATGTTGCTAGTAAATGGCCCTCATGACGGCTTCCTTGACTTGATCGCACGAACTGCACAATCTTCATCTTGTACAATACAGAAACAGCAATATATAGTTATTGTTATGAATTTGCAGCCTGGAATTATCACAAAAGTGACACCTGGACTCACAATCTTGCTCAATTGTGTTCGATGAAACTCAACAAGCTTACAACAAATCATGAACATTCAATAATTTATGGTTGTGGAGGAGTTTGGGCAATTGACTTCTGAGGAGAATGATGCATTCAAGCATTTAAAGGCATTGCAATCTCTGCCAAACATGGGCAGAAGGGTTTACACTAGACTCTAGACTAGCAAGTGTTCGACAATCTCAAGAAGCTTGCCGGCTTATGGCGCTTTCTCATTTTGATCATTCTGCCTAGGCAACTGCGGAGTCCGCTGCCATTCATTTGTGGGTCAAACGTGACGGCTGGTGTAGTTTGTTGTAAGCCAGGGAGCAAGGGGCATTCTGGCATGAACCAGGGTGAGAAAGTAGGCAACTAAGTACAGCTGGCAATCCAATGAGAGGCAATCTGAACCCCTACGGATTTATTCCCTAGACCCTAGGCAGGTGAATTGCCTCTTGCCGGTTTGGGTTTCAGCAGTCTTATGTGGAAATTGGCTGCAAGGAGTAAGTTCAAAGCTGTTTCCTGTGGGCTTGAAGTATCACGCATCCATTGCGTGGGTGTCCGTTCCAGTTGCCTTTCCGGATGTTGAAAGCTTTTAGCCAGTTTCAAATCGACTGCGAATCAGGCGATGGGGCCCCAAAGGAGGGGTTTGCACGATAAATGCAGGGGATCTTGGGCAGTCTACCTTCACATCGCCAACGAGTCTAAACGGTTCTGCCAAGTGCCACAAGGGCAGCTATTATGTTCCATGGCTTTTGGTATGACACTTTTCAACTGTTGCAGCTTTGGTCATGTTCATGCATACATTGCATGCACAACTCTTCTTTTGAGCGGTGAGTTCCTCGAGATCCCATTCAAAAATGTTTGGCTTGTCAGTTAGGAAACCAAAAACAACCACTATCTGCATGCATATCCACAGAAATTTATATAGCTGAGTGCAAACTACCAGGATGTTCATGTCAGGGCCTCCAATAGATACAGCTATTCTTTAACACCTTCGTACCCTACATCAACCGGAGATGTCATTCATATACATTACAATATATTCGTTCTCCAACAGGTATTGCTATTTACAAAATTGATACCTTGATTGTACATTGCAAAAATTGATCTGAATGTTTTTTAGTCATTGAAATCTGCATGGTACATTGATACAAATGCTCAATCCGGGTCGTAATAATTTTCAATATTGTTCATTTTACAATTGATAGATTCTGTGATGTAGAATATTGTAAGTTCTTCTTGACCATCGCGAGGTGCCCAGGCCCTTCTCCACACTCCACACTTCATCTTCTCCATTCCTTCGGAATCCTTCGGAATCCTTCGGACATCCTTCGCCACTTGGCAGGCTACGCATCCGACATCCGTCAATAGAAATTCTCGGGAAAAGAGATGTGCGCATTGGCAGTTGGCTTGTTGACAAACGCCTCGGCGGCATCCTGGAACGCCTTCAACATACGGCGCAAGACTGGCGGCGGATAGTCGTCATAGGCGCAGTTGATGAGAAGCCACCAAGTTTCTTTGTCTCCCTGCTCAATCACCTTGCGTGGCAGCGAACAAGTGAGAAAACTATGACAAAACCATTGGCAAATATAGATCTATGTCAAAGGCAACCTTCACACATAGATCCACCACGAGCAAACACATCTTGAAAATTGTCGGATGCCTACCAGTAGCTGTCCTTCCATCTCCAAGTGACAAAGGATAAAGGCTGTGGAACCCTTGGCAGCTGCTCATCGTTTCGCTTGTCCTCCCAAGTTTGATGCGTTTGTCCGTCCATCGCTGATCCCAGTGGGACGCCGATCGCTTCAATTGCAAGTTCCTACCACAACCAAAATGGCAAACACGGCTGGACAATAAGTCCAACAACCGCAACAACGCAATGTAAGGACCACCCTCTGTAGAATAGTATCTACATCGATATAACAATTACAGTAATATACTTGTCAAAAGACAATATATATATATATCTCTCTCTTGTTGTGCAACCGAAAAATGGTCGATCTTCTGTATGCACCCTCTGATTACTTCTCCTCCTTCATGCACTCACCGATCCGCCAAAGCTCCTCACCGATCTGCACAAAGCCCGCACGGCTTGAAGCGTCCGCTGAGTCCATAAGTTGGAAGTTCACCATGGTCGCTTCGGGCTTCTTGATGGCATTGTACACCCCCCATTGCCTCCCCCGATGGAGTCGTGATGCCCGGAGGGGCGGTATGGTGGGGCGAGGGTTTTGGGTGTGTCGTCGTGCGGTCGTCGGCCAAACACGGATCGATTCGTTCGTCCGAAGGACGACTTTTGATGAACCAAAAAGAGAGGCGATAGGGACCAAAGCGACACTCTGGGGATCTCTGAAGGGATCAACTTAAGAGTAACCTGTCCTGCACTTTGAGGAGTCTGTACTGCGAACCCCCTCTCCTCCCACGCAAGAGCGCGGGGCGGTGCGGGTGGTGCTCTCTATCTTACATGCTTCTTGAGTGCGGACAGAAAGGTTTTCAGTTAAGAAAGAGGAACAATTATTATTGGTTGTCCTCAGAAGCATGGGAAAGACCTGGTTTTGCCGGGTTTTCTGTCTGATGTGCTGGTTGGTTTTCTCCACACTGCCTGGTTCGGATCTTGTGGCCCACTTGTTGAACCACACCCAGGACAGTGGAGGTCATCTTGTCGAGGCTAATGTTGAGGACTCGCCAGTCGGCAAACAGGCCACACAAACCTGCTTCTCCCACACCATCACGTGTTGGAGCATAGAGTGTGAATTCTAAGTCCTCCACCTCCTTTGCGTTGGCGACCGCAATGGCCGTCAAGGCCAACAAAGCTGCATCAAAAGGCACGGCGTGTCTGAGCGCAGCTTGTCGCAAGGCAACTAACACGGCCTTTGTGAATCCTAAGATGTGGCCATAGCCACGCTTCGTGCATTTCCATTGGCTTCCGCGCAGGGAGCACATCTGTGGACTGTTGCGTGGCTCCACAGCATCCAAGCTATCAAAAAGCCGCCTTTGCAACAGTTCCAAGCTGTTGACGGCGGGAGGTGCTGGCCGAGACCCGGAATAGATCGCCAACAGATCTCCAACGATGGCTTCATAGCTTTGGCCATCTGCGATGATGTGCATTGCGTGCACCACTAAGTAGTTGAAGATCTGATCCTTCACCTCGGCACTTGGCATCCGAAAGGCCTCATATCGACGAGGTTTGGCTGAAACATGTTTCCTCCACAACACCGACATGTGAGTTGCACCTTTCAGCCTTAGCCAAATCACTCCGCCGGCATCCTCTCCGGACGAATCCTCCGACTCAATCTTTCCCGACAGCAACGCCGGGAAGCCGTAGGGAGGTGGAATCCAGCCCGGCGACTCCGGTCCCCAGAGTTGCGCCGCCTCGCGGCGGTTGCGGTCCACCAAGACCAGGTCGGAGGATGCGGCATCGGCGCTGGAGCTGTTGGGGGATGGAAGGATGGCAAAGTCTCCCATGCCTCCATTGACCCCATAGACCCACAAGCCTTCCAGCTTGACTCGAAGCTGAATCAAGGCAATATCCACTGGCCGGCCGGACTCTTGCAAGAGTCCACGACGATGTTTGCAATGCCATTCAGCGTTTTGCTGATCTGGAACGGGGATGACCACCAAAGGAGAGGGGAAATCTCCTGGGCCATAGACCTCCTCGGGCCTGTCAACCTGAATTTTGGGCCACGTCTGCTTCAATGCCCAGGAGATGTACCTTCTCAAGCGGCAGCTCCAAGGACCCCTGGTGTCCAACAATCGAGCCACGAGTGTGAACATCACTGCTGTATCCAAGATGAAGGAGAGCATCCGCAATGGATCAGCTGGTGAAGCACGAAGCGCATCATGCCTCATGGTCACCTCATGGGCGGCCTTCTGCAACTTGTCAAGGCAAATCTCCCCGTCCCTGCGAAGGACCCAACCTCCCATGGGAAAGTATTGGCCAGGTGAGAACCACACCGCATATTCTGAGTCAGAACTCGAGTGCTTTTCCTTCGTTCCGGCCTTTTGTACCTGCCCTTCACACTCTTCGAGCAACTTGGGCAAATCTTCCGGGGAAGCGTTGCGGAGTTGAGAGATGCTCAAGCTCACACCAAACTCTCCTCGAAGCCGGCCAACCAGCAAGCCCAGGGTGAGACTGTCTAAAGCATGGAAGGACATATCTTCTGTCATCTCAGTACGAAGGACATCTTGCAAGCACCGATAGATCTTCCGTTCTCGTGGATTGCTGGGCACCCGTGTGGACATTTGAGCCGATTCTGTGGCCAAGTCCTTCAACTCCACATAATCCACTGTCTTGTTGATCCACCACCATCGATCAAACTGCTTCTTCTCATCCTTTGACCACTGCTCGTTGCCATTCTGAGCATCCCCATTCTGCTCCTGCTCGTTCTCCTCTTCACTGGCAGGTCCGGCAATTGGTCTGTTCTTCAGCAGGCTTTCGGCCAAGGGTTGGCATTCCTTGCAGGCCTCAGAAGTGGCAACTGGCCAACAGGCCCAGCAGACGAGCTGCCCAAAGCGGTCGTTGCATCCGTAGACCACGTCGATGTCCTCCGAATGGAGCACCGCAGTTTCGGGAGGAGGCCAAGCAGTGCGCATGGTCTTGCAGCAAAGGGAGCATCTCAGGGGTGGCTCCTGGTGGCCAACGGGCTGCTAGTAACAGGAAGCGATGCACTTGTTACTAGATGTTACTAGTAGCTTCTTGTTACTAGGCCTCCAACCTAATCGCGATGGCCAACCTACTAGCTTCTAGCTACTATAGTAGCTTCTTGTTACTATAGTAATACTATATAGTAGTGATGCCCTTGTTACCAGTGGCGATGCACTTGTTACTATCCAGAAAATCGGAACTTCCAATGTAGCAAATCACAGAATCACTCGTTTTACCTCAGCCCAAGGAGAGCATTGAAAAAACGAGTTGCAACAGTGTCAACATCATCCAAGGACGTCTCTCTTTTGGTGTTTCATCGTCGCTGGCCTCGGCTGCCTCTTCCTTTTCCTTCTGCGATTCCTCGGCAATCTCCTCAGGCTCTTGAGGCGCTATCCAGCTCCTTGGATTCAGCTTCTGCAAGAGCCAGAAGGGCATAGAGATGCACTGCTGCAGGGAGGAAGTGAAATACCACTCCCAATACCTGAAGGGGCCGACTGGCTATTCCTGGCAATCCACTGCTGCAGTATCCCAGGAAGGACAAGCCTATCCGCCTAAAGCCATGTCCTTCATGAATGCACTGTTCATATGTGGTCTTTCACAAGAAATAGTGTTCATCTACGTTTTCGATGGACAATACGAAGGACGCCCTGCCTCCAAGTGCACCACCTCTCCAAATCATACTCTAAACGATATCCAATTCCTGTCCAGAAGACTAGCGGATACGCCAGGAAACGGCGTCTGCGAAGGGCGTGTGCTGCCCCATGAGACACCCAAAGGCCTACCAGAAGGTTCGACATCAGGCGCATCTTGCAGCAAGCGGACATCCATTGGCTGCTGCGAACGGACTGCTGTTCGCAGAGCCATGTTAGCATACCGCGATTCATCAAGACAGCCACCATACTGCCCCAAATGCCCATGGGCATCACTTCAGATGCTGCAAAAACCACTTCAGACAAGCGACTTCTCTCGTCGGCCGTATGCAGAAATGATAGGTGCATGTATGGAAGCATCAAAAGACCGAGTCCAGATGGCAGCTTGAGCCGCAGAACAGAGGCCAAATCCCAGGAAAACCCCCCAAGCAGGGCCAGAAGGCTCCAAGCAAGGATCTGAAGGACTTTCTCCTTCCCGCGCTGAATGATGAAGGGCTCGGCTGCAGCTGACGGATTGAGTGGCCAGCTTTCCTCACTCCCCTTGGCCAGCGAGGTCAGTTTCCGGTAGTCCACTTTGCACGTGACTGGGTGCCTTGGTAAGCTACTCAAGGTGTGAATCTGCCCATGTGGCAGGAGCTTCCGTACCTGTCGCAAGGCCTCGGCCACGCGAAGAGACTCTGCAACCTTCAAGACCACGAAAGCATGGACGGTGCTACTACCTCCCGGATCGGGCACGACCTGACAATCCTCGATCTCCTTGATCTCTTGAAGATTTCCCTGCAACGTCGACAGATCGACCCACTGTCCCCGCTGCTTCATGGTCATATCAGCTCGTCCACGAAACTCTAAGGTGCCATCGGACCATCGCTGAACCAAGTCGCGAGTGCGGAAATAGGACTTCCCATCGATGTCAATGAAGGAGGAGTCGGAAGATTCACCCGCAATGTATCCTGAAGACGCGCATCGCAAAGGAACATCTAAAAAGGTCCAAAAACAAGAAACACAAACAAGGGGGCAATGAAGGGGGGCAGGAGAGGGCAATGGATGAAGCCCAAGGGCGAATGAAGGAGGGCACAAGGGGGGTTCAGACAAAATGAAGGGGCGCACAAGGGGTCAATGGATGAAACACAAGTCTTCTCAACCCCGTCTCCTGTCGTGACCATTGGCCCGCGAATGACCAGCTCGCCAGTTCCATCCTGCTCTGCCTGATCGATGATCAAGGTTTCAACTCCTCCCACGATCCGATGGCGTCCAATGCCCTCGAGTGGAGCTGAGTAGAAGGAAAGCCAATATTCGGTGGACACGAGCAATTCTCTGAGCCGTGCTTTTGGATGGTTGGACCATCTTTGGGCTACATTGATCGGCAGCTTCTCACCCCAACTGAAGACTGCCTGGATGTTGGGTAGCTCTGAGGAGGGATCCTCTGCTAGGAGCTTCAACTGATCTGGCACTAGGCCAATTGTATTCACTGCCTCTTCTCGAATGACTCGCTTGAAATCTTCAATCTCGGGAACTTCGCACAGGACGGAGCATCCACCAAAGGCTAAGGCAATACTGATCTGCCCTAAAGCTGAGGCACCCCAATAGACCGAGGTATGTTGTGCAATTCGCAAGGGGAACGTCACCTCCAAGCAATCCGAATATGTCGACCGCTCATGCTCCACCATTGCATGTGAGACCACCTCAGCTTCGAGTGAGCCACCTTGCCTATAGTAACGCCCCTAGTCTATTCAGTAGTTTCTACCTCAATAGCGATGGCCTCCTACCTATTAGCGATTGCCTCCAACCTAATGGCGATGGCCTCCAGCCTAAATTAAGGCAATGGCCTCCTACATAGCAGCGATGGCCTCCAACCTGATGGCGATGGCATCTAACCCAAGAGCGATGGCCTCCAACCTATTAGCGATGGCCTCCAAACTAATGGTGATGGCCCCCAACCTAAAAGCGATGGCCTCCAACCTAACATCGATGGCCT